CAGGTGTGGAGGCGATCTGTGATGGTGATGGCGGTGGGGGATGTGGTGGAGGGAATTCCAGCTGAATCCAAGTGGGAGAACCCGCAGCCACATTCCACGAACAAAGAGCGGGTCTCCGTGGCCCAGCAACACAGCGACCCCTCGGCCTGGTCCTTCAGCTGCAAGACACGGGGCCAGGGTAGGGGCTGGGTTTCTGCGCGGGCAACGCCCCCCCCTCTTTTCACGTAGTCCCAACCCCTCCTAAGCTCCCGCCCCCGCCCCCGAATCTGCCCCCTCAGATCCAAATCTCCCAGAGAATTGGCCTGCGTGGAGGGTGAAGGCAGGACCCTTACTGCGGCAGGACGGAGGGCGCCCCGGATCTGTGGAAGTGGACGATCTGCCACTTGCCGTCCCGGCGGTGCCAGATGCGGGTCTCCTCGGACTGGGCCGTACGGGGGATGCCGCCGGCATCCAGGTACTGCGTGATGCGGATGTAGGCGATGCAGGCCGACTCGTCGCCCATCAGGTGGATGTGTGGGTTCAGGATGGTGGTGTGCACCGGCTTGCTGTTGCGGGACCACACTGGAGGTGGGGTTGGGGGCAGGGGAGATGCAACTGGGCCTCCTCCGCACTTCCTTCACAACCTACTCCCAAGACCTCCTGCTGAGCCACCTCTGAGGTAAGCCTGCAAGAAGCCCCACCCCCACCCCGCCCCCAGCTTAGACACAATGGATAGCAGACACCCATTCCTCAAGCCCAGCCAGTAACCAGCTGCTGAAGAGCAAGCCCCTGAGGGTCGAGGTAGGACAGCTCTGCTGGGTGTGCAATGGCTGAGTTTGGGGGAGTAGAGGGCCAAGCCTTTCCTTGGCGGCACCCCGGGGTCGACTTAACCTCCGGCCTTTCTGATTAGCAGCTGAGCAACCCAGGGGCTCCGCTGCATTCTTAGGGGAACGGGATTTTAGAATCAGCATCTCCAGACCAGAAACATAAGACCAAGATAGCTTAAGAAGCAGATACACGTAGTTCAGGCCACAGACGTAAGCTCAGACCGCTACAGCAGCCTGGCAGGTACGAAGCCCGGGGAGGGACGCTAGTGTGAGCTGGGGTAAGAGGCTGGCTGTGTGACGCTGACCTGTGCCGAGGGGTTAGAGAGGCGGTGGGGAGTGGCGGGGAAGGTGAAGAAGAAAGCACCAGAGTTCGCTGCCTGAGTCAGTTGGACCAGTGTCGCTGGAACCTCCTGAGTTCAAGGAAATTCAGAAATCGGGACTTTCATGTGAAACCTCTCGTTTGATTATGGGCATCTCTTTGAAATTTAAGGTGCCCAGAAACAGTTACAGTCCCGGAATATCTATGGAGGGTGGTGGTGGGTTTGGGCTTTAGTGGGGCCACCCTGGTTAAACCTGGCTACTAATGGAAAGGTTGGTGGTTCAACGCCCCCAGCCACTCTGCAGGACAAAGACGAGGCAGTGGGCATCCATAAAGATGATGTATTTAGCCCTCCGGGGCGGGTCTTCTCTTTCCTGGAGAGTTGCTGCAGAGGAAATGCAATCTCAACAGGTGGGGTAGTTGGGATGTCAGGCATCCAGCCCTGTGAAGTTCATCTACACCCCAGAAAGAGGCTGTGAGCTCCATCTGCCACCCGAGAACTGTAGCATCTTAGAACCGTGGCCCTGGAAGGATGGCTTTGGAGGCCACGGGGTGAGGTCAGGAGCTGTGGGGAAGCTCCCAGTTCCTGCAGCAAGACGAAGAACCCGCAAGCAGCCCCCCGGGGGGTGTGCTGCCAGCCGCCACCTAGTCGCTGTTGTTTGGAGACCTTCCACCCCTTCACTCAGATCAACTAAAAAATACACCTCACTGCCATCCAGTCGATGCCAATGCATAGTGGTCCCAGGGGACACGTTAGCACGGCCCCTGTGAGCTTCCAAGACTGGCACTCTTTGTGTGAGGTGTCACGGAGTCAGCTCCGACCCATCGTGACTGTCAGCACCACAGAAAAAACACTGCAGGGCCCTGTGCGTCCTCACCATTGTCCCCAGGCCTGGACGGTGCCAAGCCATCTCCCGCAGCGCCCTCCTCTTTTTCCTGCCCCTCTGCTTTACCAAACACGATGTCCTTTTCCAGGGACTGGGCTCTTCTGACAACACGCCCAAAGTTTTGAAGACGGAATCTTGCCATCATCCTGGCTTTGAAGGGGGACCCTGGCCTTACTTCTTCCAGTCCAGATCAATCTGCTGTGGTACTATTCTTCTCCAGCACCACAAGGCAAACGCAATGATTCTTCTGCCATCTCCCTTCTTCAACGTCCAGCTTTCACGTGTGCATGAGGCAATGGAGAATACCACGGCTTGGGTCAGGCGCATCGTAGTCCTCAAAGCAACATCCTTGCTCTTCACTACTCTATAAAGAGGTCTTGTGCAGCATGTGTACCTACTGCGATACACCTTTCGGGCTCTTGACTGATGTTTCCATGAGCACTGATTGTGGATCCAACTAAGACCCAATCCTTGATCACCTCAATCTTTTCTCCACTTATCGTGATGGCACCTGTTGGTCCAGTTGTGAGGATTTTGGTTTTGACCATTGAGTTATAATCCAAACTGAAGGTTCCAGTCCTTGATCTTCATCAGATCAACTGAAAACCAAAACTTACTGCCATTCAGTCGGTTCCAATAAATGTCGACCCACTGGGACAGATTAGAATCTGCTTCTAATCCTCCTCACCTCCCAAATAAACAAGATTGTTTCATCTGCATAGTGATGAGAGAAGCCTTCCTTGTTCATAAGCCTTCCTCCAAGCCTGATGCCACACTCTTCCTCATGTAATCCAGCTCCTCTGATGATTTGCTCCGCATACGGACTGAACAAGTATGGGGAGAGGATACAGCCCTGACACACGTCTTTCCTGATTTTGAACCAGGCAGGATTCCCCTGTGCTGTTCCCACAACTGCCTCTTGGTTCGTGTACAGAGCCAACTGAGCACAAGGACATGCTCTGGAACTCCCATTCTCCTCAAGGCTATACGCAGCTTTGTAGGGTCCACACAGCTGACTGCTTTTGCAGAGTCAACGGAACACGAGTAGACGTCTTTCTGCCAGTCTCTGCTTCGAGCCAAGGTCCATCTGACAGCAGCGACTCTTTACAGGGGTAGAAAGCCCTGCCTTTCCCCCTCGGGCCGACTGGACAGAGCATGAACCCTGGTGGTGTGGTGGAGGCCCAGGGCAGATCGGCCTTCTCTCTGGTTATTCCTTTCTGCCACCAGAGCCGAACCTGTAGAGGCAGGTCTTACCTGGTCACCGGGCTCATCGTGGGGAACTGGCACCCCTAGGGGACACTGGCTGATGGCGGTTATGTGTTGTGCTAGGGTGCTTCAGGATGATAGTCCTCCTGGGGTCCAGCTACCTCTCCTCCCACGAGAACCCAGCTCCCATTGCTAAGTTTGGAGGACCAGGGTTTGATTTGTTGGGGGAAAATGCAGCTCCCTCCCTCGCAGCTCTTTTGGGCTTGCTGCATTCCAGGATCAGGAGCCTGGTGGCATAGTGGTTACATGTGTTGGGCTGCTAACTGAAAGATTAGCAGTTCAAAG